TTGACTGCCAGGCACTAAATAACCATCATTTTTTTTCCTTACAATATTGCCAAAATCTTCTAACTTATATTCTCACTGTTTTCTCCTTCCTTATTTGTTCTCTACAAAAGATAAGCCACATTATTTTTAATATAGCACTCATCCTTAAAGTACTCTGCTTTTCACTACATTTGGACTAAAGTACAAAGCCTTTCCATTATATATATCTCTATATATTTATCTATATCTATATATATATCTATATCTATCTATCTCCCCATATAACCCTTCCTCTACTGAGCTCTACTTTTAATTCTATTCACATCAGTGTTTACTAAAGTCCAGTCCTCTGTTTCTTTGTTTCCCTCAAAAGAGCTGTTTTTTAACCCTTAAATTTGTGTGTCATTGCTAGTTTATCTTGCTTGCACTTTTAAAACTTTCCCTTCCTCTATTAGGATATGACATTCATAAACGTAGTACCTCATCTATCTTAGTTATTCAGGAAAAATAAGATGGGAAGCTAAAACCACTGTCTTTTCTCTTTTCCGTATAGTATCTTGTAGCATTCTAGTAATTACACTTTCAGATACTGTGGCTGAAGTTAGAATTATAGCTACAAAAGTGACTCATGGGACTGATATAAGTACAAAAGAATTTAAAGGACTCTCATGAATTTTGGTGACAAGTGGCCTTGTTTCAAATGCCTGTTTTTCTAACATGCTCAGAAATCTTACCATTAGTAAAATAGCAAGGATTGTGGTCGGGATAAAATACAGAGCAGAAATAAAAGTAAGACAGAATTTTAGTTCTTCAGGGATGTTATGTTTTAGTAATATTTAGGGAGCTCACTTACTAAGTCATGCTTTAATAAGGGAATGGAGGTGGGAGGAAGGCGAGAGAAGGAAGTTCCTGGATGGGCAGACGCTCTCTCCGAAAGCATGAAAAGTGCATGGGAAAGGAGCAGGTGGGAGATGCTGAGCTTCACTGTACCGCATTTAATCTTACATCTACATGCAATTATCTGGCTCTGAGCCAATATAAATCAACAGCGCTTTTTGTTAAACATATTCTATTCAGAATTATAGTTAATTTGGTTGACCATTGCATTTCAATGTTAGATTATTTTCTGATTATAAAAGATTTAATTTTGTAATCAAGATATTTTTTCTACTGTTAAAACACCATATTTTAAACAATAATTTGTAATGCATTATAAATTATAGGTGCTTGCGTGTCTATGAAGTCTGCCATTTCTGTGCACTAAAATCAATGATCAGAATTTGTGCCATTTTATTTTAATTTAAAAGTATAGTCACTATGGAGCAGGGGATTTAGCTCAGTAGTTCCACTGCCTGCCTTGCAAGCACAAGGATCTGAGTTCGATCCCCAGTAGAAAAAAAAAATATATATATATATAGTCACCGTGATTGTTCCAAAATTTGATTCATTCCTATCAGCTTTTTCATCTTTATAGATATTCTGTTTTTGTTTGTGATAGGTTGTCATTTTGAATGAAATATATATTTAGGCAAAACACTGTGTTTTGACACTCTTGAATGTTAATCTTAGCCCCCAGGAAAACATTGATCAAAGCATTACAGAAAACTTTCTCATCAAATCTGTTAAAAGTTTCTTCCATATCCACCTGAAACTCTCAATTCTCACAGTTTGGTGATTTGTGCACATATGTGTGCATGTGCCTAAGTACCTATGTATGTACTGAGACAGGTGCTCACTATGTTTCCCAGGCTGGTCTTGAACATCTGGGTTTGAACAATTCCTCTTTCCTGGCCTCTCTCATAACTCACCGGTCTGGCTTAGGCCTATAGCATTTGACTCCATAGAACATAATGAATTTCTTTTCTTTATTTTTGAACTTTCATCATTCTCCTCTTAGTTTCTTTGACCAGACCTTTCTTTTTTTGAGCTCCAAGTGGTAGGTAACTACTGAGATCAGTTCTCAGATGTCTTGTCACTATTCAGTGATCTCAGCCAATATATGCCTAAAAACTGTTTATATACTGGTGATTCCTTGGAGGGAGTTTCATTCCCAGTCCTTTTTTTAATGTAAAACTACTTTGACAACTTATAGAAATAAAGAAGGTAGAGCTGGGAACATAGCTTGATAGTAGAGCATTTACCCACCATGCTTAAAGTCAGGGGTTTGATTCTCTGGTATCACACACACACACACACACACACACACACACATACACACATACACACATACACACAAACAAAATAAGGTTTATAAAACTTTACTTATTAAAAATTATGCTTAATTTTTCAACCCAAATCTCCTGAGTTACACATTTCTGTGAATGACAATGCCAATTTGAGTATTTTCTTGAATCAGAAAATCTGGAATTATTATTGACTCTTCTGTTTTCATAGCCCATATCAACTTCATTATCAAATCTTTTCATATCTTCATTCGAAGTTTAGTATCTTAGAAGGAACACTTCTCATCAAATCTACCGCTCCTATCACTCTGTCTCAACTGCCTTTCCCACTCCTCCCCAAGGTCTTTCCTAGAGCCTGTTTTCTGCCTGCTACACAGAAAAGGGTTTAAAATTATGACACTTTTTTTGTGTGTGTGGTACCGGGGATCGAACTCAGGTCCTTGCTCTTGTGAGGTAGGCCACCACCGAACCGCTGAGCTAAATCCTCGACCCTATGACACATATTGATAAGGTTTCCATATGTGTAAGGCTTCTTATAGTTAGTATAAAATACATGCTTTTTTCTCCCTCACTGGTTCACAAGACCACATATCATCTGGTCTTTGTTCTCATGATCTTTCCACCATCTTGCTACATCTTTCTGTTCTCTTTCAGTAATGATTTACTCAAATGTCCTAGTCTCAGAAAAGGGGTCTTTTGAAAACTCTAAAAATACTCTTTTAAATCTTTACCTCTTGCCCTGTTTGATTATTCTACACAGGGTTCATCATCAACTGAAATTAAATCACACACGCGCTAGGAAGTTTTTGGTGTTACTGTCTTCCCTACTTCAATATAAGCTTCAAAATGGTGCCACCTTTAATTTGTCCCTCATTCTATTTCTAGCATTTAGCTCAGTGTGTGGTAATTTGGCAAGGTCTTCATAAATATTTGTTGAATTAGCGAATGAATGACTTGTATTTAGAGAGAGAAAAATTGTTAACATGTTTAAATCTTACATGATCATGGTAGGTTATCATAGACACATGTCAGTACAGGAGTCACAGTGGTTATGCGAATAATAAGCTTTTAGGGCAGGTGAAAAGATGAAGGTAACTGGCTGTGTGAAAGAGCACCATTGAGAGAGATAGGAATTTGAATCCTCACTGCCCTGTGCACCAGAATATATTTGTGACTTGCTAAAAGTACATGTCAGACACTTGCCCCCAAGGGCTCTGATTCAGAGATCTAGGGTGGATGTACACTTAGGTAGTTATTTTTAAGAGGTTGGGCACCTTAAAGCCAGGATTTGAAATAGGGATTTGAGTGTATGAGATTTACTGTTAGAGCACTTGCAGAAAAAATCTGTAGGAAAGGAAAGTGCTACATGGGGAAGTTCAGCAAATGCATAGCTCCAGATAATCTAGCTTTGACCTGACACACAACAGACGCTTTGTATTGCAGCCCCTACCATTCAGTTGTTTCTCCTTGAGGCAAGAGACTAGGATTACGCACTGGGCTTTGGCTACTTCACTTTCCAGGCAAGACAGATCCCCTTAGTGGAGGGCAATTCTCCAGAGGGGAAGCTGAGAACCATTAGCACCCAACACTCAGAGCAGCTGGGGGCCAGAAAGAGGACAGTTAGCTGCTACAGTTACAGTCATACAAAAAAATGGGCTAATTGTGAAGCCAGACATTCATTCTTTCAAGAAATATTTACAGTGGCCTGTCCTGGACTAAGTACGTTTAGTTGCCAGGATTCAGTGATGAATAGAAGTGGTCCCTGCAGCATGCATAGGGAGAAACAGAAATTAATCAAATATATATGAAATCATAATAAGGTACTATTGGGTTATTATACCAAATAATGAGTTGAAGTAAGATTGTAAAAACAAGCCCGTAATATGCAAGAGGGTAATTTTTTTAAAAAAGTGGTTCTTGCAGCAACTTTGAGATTATGTAAATTCTGCTATCTCAGTACTTGTTATCTAATGCTAGCTGTATGTTATTCAAACAGTTATCAGGCATTATTTGAAAAGTCAAATAGAATTTAAAAATTTGTTTCAACACAGGCACCATGTTTGTGTGCAGGACCTCTACATGATATTATTTTTTAAAAAATCAGTCAATTTCCTCTTTATAGAAGCAGAAGCAGAGTAAGAATTAAAACTTTTAAATGCAACTGGTCAGATGCCAGTTCCCTTTTGTTTTTTCAAATTACCCTCTCATTCCTATCCCAGTCTGGCTAGCGAGGCAAAAGTAAAACCTGTATGATTAGCAATGATCTTGCTACCATGAAATATTCGAGTTTGCGGACTTCCCATAATCCTTTATTCCTGTGGAGGCTACAACTTACTGGAAGTCACTGAATTGAAGTGAACTGTTCATCACTACAAGTCTGACATTATTGTGTGTAAAATAAAAAACACTTGAACAAATAGATACAGATCACTAGGCTCCAAGCAAAGTTTGAGAATTCAATAATAATATAGAACATCTGAGATAAGACTAAAGAAAGAAAAAATTTTGTTTTTCTATATTTCATTATTAGATACAGACCATTTAAATCACTAATAAATTAGTACATACCAGTGCATATCTACCTGAGATTCCTGATTTTTTCTAATACTCTATTTTCACCTCTTTTTTTGTATTTTTGAATAGTGATATGGAAACCACTATATTGAAAAATAAGTCAGCTAATGAAGGACATAGTACTTGTCAGTAAAGTAGTGTTTCTTTAACACAGAAAAGAATTTCAGAAGACTGTAATTCTGTTGAAGTGTCACCAAACCACCTCTTTAGGAGGATATAGCACCAGCAGGATAACAAGGCCATGTTCAGTAATTCCATTCATACCTCAAATCCCTGAGGTCTTCCTAGACTCTCTGTGATATGTCTCCATGCAACAAGAATCTCTGACACAGACACACTTGTAGCCTTCACGTCAGCTGGAGCAGTGCTGGGTTCTGCATGAAAGGACGCAGAAATAATAAGTCATGGATGTAATAAGTATTCTATCAAATTAGTGCACCTACACCCACGTGGTGTTCACCGCTTTCTACCTTATTTTTGCCATGAAGTGCTCTAGCAGTTACGAAAAACAAAAGATAAAAAAAAAAATGAGAACTAAGACTTGTCATGAAGGTACAAGTCCGCTTTCTACCTTATTTTTGCCATGAAGTGCTCTAGCAGTTACGAAAAACAAAAGATAAAAAAAAAAATGAGAACTAAGACTTGTCATGTAAAGGTACAAGATCCCAATAATGAATATAATTGTTCTGTATACCTAAAATGTACCAATAAACTCAATAAAAGGAAAAAAGATAAAAAAATGATCTTGTTGGATTTCTATATTTAGGTCAAGTCACATTTATACCTTACCAGTGATACATCACAAATATGGCAAGTAAATGGAGATTTTTATCACTGAATTAGCTATGTTGGTTCTAAGTTAAATGCTGTGATTGAAATTGTATGCCAATCTATCATAATGTTGAAGAGAATGGACTATGGAGTCAGCATTGGCTTTTTTGCTGCTGTTGTTGTAGCTGTTGTTAATTTCTACCTTTAAAAATTATTTGAAAAGATGAAAATAAAGTGTTTGTAGATGGGGAGGGGAGGAGGGGGTGAAGGGAGGGCAGGGACAAGGGGAAAAAATGAGAATTAAGACTTGGCATGTAGAGGTACAAGGTCCCAACAATGAATGTAACTGTACTGTATCCCTAAAATGTACCAATAAACTCAATTAAAGCTGAAAAAAATATTTGTAATTATATAATACATACATATATGGAAACATCACATCCCACTAATGTAAAATTTTTGTGTTTTTAAAACTGAGTTTATTGGTACATTTTAGGTATACAGTACAGTTAAATTCATTATTGGGATATTGTACCTCTACATGACAGGTCTTGGTTCTCAGTTTTCCCCCTTGTCCCTGCCCTCCCTTCACTCCCTCCTCTCCTCCCCATTTACAAACACTTTATTTCCATTTTCTCCTATTTTTTTCTTTTCCCTTATTACCTTTTTGTGTTTTTATATCTCAGTTACATATATTTAATAAATAAAATAATACGTTTAAATTTACCTTTATGTAAATTGTTTTACCTCTTTCTATTCTCTAATTTCATCTTCTGTAATATGTGCATATTAAGAGTATTATTTCATAAACTTTGACTATTTTTAATTATTATAAGATATACAAAATATTTAGTGCTATGGTTAGCACTTAAAATAACCATTCACAAGTATATATTAGTTGTGGAAGAACAAAT